AAATCCTTGTACATTCTTTTAATGATCAATGAGTAAAATGACCACTAGTTGCGTTTTTTTAAAAGATGCTTTATCCCCTCACCATATTTCGCCTTCCACTCCCCCTCCCCCCCCCCCCCCCCCCCCATCCCTCCCTTCTCTCATCCGTCACACACACAATCTGATGTTTAAACCGAATATTCGATAACTATTCAGAAAAGACGTTTTGGTCACTGTCTACGAAAACTGATCTGGCTAACAAAATGGCTTACTGTTTTTTTTGCGTCTAAACTCTAAACTCATTTAGTCCAACGGATTTACCGGGTGTTACGAACAAAAGTTGTATATTTTTTTTACAAATAAGTTACAATATTAGTATTACTCTGTATAAACTCAATCAGTAGCCCGAGTCTTTTCTTTGGACTAGGCCATTCCATGCAAGTTTATACGGACAATTTGTTTTATAAACCGCAGTAACATTATATTTTATTTAATCTGAGAAAAATATTCAACAGATTTTTTATTTTTATTTTTAAATTTGATTATAACACCTTTAAAAAAATAAAAAAATAAAAAAAAAAGAGAGAAAACATCGGAAACCACTTTCTTTATTTCTAACGATTATGCCGTTCGGAAAATTTGAACACTCTTGAAAACTTTTACTCGGACACATGACGTATGTAAGGAAACATCCATTCAAGCAAAACGCCGGCGGGCAAATGGAATCAGAGCATGATACTTTCAACCAATCAACAAACACCCATTTCCTCCATATAGTAACTAGTTTATTGACAAAGTTCAAAATGTTCAAATAGTATTTACAAACAACCATTTTAAAACATTTCTTCTTTAAATATAAAGCACAAATGAAAAATAGTAATCGAGTACTTTATGGAACAAACCTAACGAACCGGGAAGGAGTTTTAAAAAGCATTAAACGAAAGTACTTTACAGCATCAAGAAGGCTAAAAGTCCTTGTAATGATTGTAATCAAAAAACGTTTAAAAGATGTAATTTAATATAAAAGTACAACGCAAGTGTAATTATCTAAAAGCGTAGGCTTAACAGCGCCAATTTAATTCCAGAATGTGTGACAGAATTTCGAGGAGACTTATTAAATAATTAATTTAAACTATTTAAATAATTGACATAAGACAATTTTGATTTAATTGATAATATCAAGAGGTGGAATCTAGGATTTTTATGTAGGGAAATCCGTTGTCACAACGTGTCATAAAAACTGTCGCGCTCAAAGGTTTTAGAAGGGTTTTAGAAAGATTTTTAGAAGGGTTTTAAAAACCGTAATTCTATGGGTGTCTGCCGTTGGATAATGGCTGTGTTTTTGTGGAAGAGACAAGGGCTAAGTAAATATAACTAAATCAAAGCTAATCAGTGCAGCCTGAAGGTTTATACATGTATACAGCTAGACCGTAATGTTAATGAAATAAGGCGTTTATTAACATGCAGTAGGAGAGATTTTAAACTGGCACCACGCCCCTAACCTCAGCATATTTGATCTCCGAACCTCTATTCTAATCATCACACCTCCTCTTAGAATCTACCCATCATATCATCTTACTTAGACTCCACTCGTCTAGTCATGAAAATTCTTAGACTCCACCTATCTAATCATCACATCTTTGAGACTCCACCTCTCTAGTCATCTCACCACTTAGACTCCACCCATCTAATCATCACACTTCTTAGACTCCACCCATCTTCTCATCACATTTCTTAGACTCCACCCATCTTGTCATCACACTTCTTAGACTCCACCCATCTTGTCATCACACTTCTTAGACTCCACCCATTTTGTCATCACACTTCTGAGACTCCACCCATCTAGTCATCACACTTCTTAGACTCCACCCATTTTGTCATCACACTTCTGAGACTCCACCCATCTAGTCATCACACTTCTTAGACTCCACCCATCTAGTCATCACACTTCTTAGACTCCACCCATCTTGTCATCACACTTATTAGACTCCACCCATCTTGTCATCACACTTCTGAGACTCCACCCATCTTGTCATCACACTTTTTAGACTCCACACATCTTGTCATCACACTTATTAGACTCCACCCATCTAATCATCACACTTTTTAGACCACCTCTCTAGTCATCACACTTCTTAGACTCTAATTACCACACCTCATAGACCCCACCCATACAGTCAACACACCTCTTAGACTCCACCCCTCTCATCCCCTTTACATCTATACCCCACCCCTCCTGTCACCACAGAATCCCTCCCCACCTTTCCACACTGAAGCACCACACAAGGTTGTATAACGAGCGTAATCTCATCCACGTTTCACCACACCATTCTCCTTCCTGTAAATTTCCTCGTTACCCCAAACGTCTTATTTACGGTTTATTTTCGGAAGCTGCTTTAAGTCTGCACCAAATTCATTTGAAACCACTAATTGATTCTAATTGAAACCGTTAATTAGCCACGGCTTCCATGTCTTTTAACACACGCTCAAAGAAACCAATGCATCTCATTACCTTGGTACCAAGTCGGTTCCTTATTATGCATTCTTTTATCTGTTTTTTGATCTTAAATTCAAAAAGAAAAATATTCTGTAAAATATTGCAATATTTTAAAAAAAATAATCGTTCATGTAATTTATTTGGCTTGTTACGTATAGTTATGCAACGTTTCCAATTAGGCATGTGGACATTTCAACCAATTAGTCATTTTAATTCTGCATGAGGTAATTAGTGTATGAAGGTAAAGTGACTTTGAAATAAAATTGGCTTGATGTAAAATGTCTGTAAATTCCCATAAATCCACGTGTTTGAAAGCACACTTCACAGAAGCTAGTACAAACTACACATCTAAAATGACAGATAAACGCGCATTTGGTGAGCATCCTATGAAATAAACTAAAGTATAACTAAGCACACATTGTAATTAATTAAGCATATGGCTTAATTGGAAAAACAGTGACGTTAGTAGTTTCCTTTACTTTTACTAAAAACTATTTCAATCTACCTGTTGGAAGACTTTCAAAGGAATCATAAAAAAGGTTTTGTTCAATACGTAATACTACCATGATCTTATTGGAAAAAAGCATCATATTATGAAAGACTGGTTTAAAATTGCTTTATGCACACACGTACTCTAGTTCGAAAGCTATTCAACGTGTAAAAATTAAATTATTGTATTACAGTATAATAATATATAACAGCTAATATTTAACACACATGCAGACATATATTTATACACACACACACAGACACATATATAGGCCTATATATATATATATATATATATATATATATAAATATATATATATATATATATATATATATATATATATATATATATATATATATATATATATATATATATATACATATATATATATATATAGGCCTATTTGTGTAAAAGACGCTTTGCATTGTGCATATCTTCACAAACACATCATAAAACCATATGTTTCACATAATATATAACAGCTAATATTTAACACACATGCAGACATATATATTTATACACACACACACAGACACATATATAGGCCTATAAATATATATATATATATATATATATATATATATATATATATATATATATATATATATATATATATATATATATTTTTATATATATATATATATATATATATATATATATATATATATATATATATGTATATATATATATATATATATATATATATATATATATATATATATATATATATATATATATATATATATATATATATATATATATATATATATATATAAATATATGTATATATATACATATATATATATATATATATATAGGCCTATTTGTGTAAAAGACGCTTTGCATTGTGCATATCTTCACAAACACATCATAAAACCATATGTTTCACAAAGCGTGGCACGCAAACAACCCTCGCAGAACACGCAGTCAAACCAAACACCTGGCATCGAATTCCAACACCTATCACAACACTCCGCGGCACGCGGGTGTGACCTCACCGTATTCCGATCCCTCCTTTGATGGGGGAGTAATACGTGTTCCAATCCCCAGGATCCTCTTTCACGCGTCGTCTGTTTATTTGTCCCCCCCCCCCCCTCCCCCCTCCCCACGTCGTCCCAGCCACAAATCGATGGCATTGTTCAAATGCATCACAACACCCCCCCCCCCACGGGACTATTTATCACAACACCTTTTCCAGTCTGTTACCTGTAGTTCTCTCTCACCTGTAAGGTGGAGACTTTGTGCACGGTCGAACTGACGGAATGTTTACCGTAGTCGTCCGTGTAAATATTTACCGCGGGATTTTTTTTTTTTTTTTTTTTTTTTTTTGAGAAAAGTCGAATTGGTCTTAAAGCGCTGTATGACTAATGATGTTGAATTAATTACTTCCTCGTTTGCTAATATCCATCTTATTATCTGTTTAAGAATTAAATCATTCACATGCAGCATTATGATGAAGAAAGCAAACACACAAGCATATAAAATACACACACACACACTCACCTTCTCCCTCTCACACACACAGAGCCACATATATAAATACATGAAGGTATATATGTATGGATATATATATATATATATATATATATATATATATATATATATATATATATATATATATATATATATATGTCTAAAGTAAAATATTAGTATAATGTTGCGATAATCAAATCGAACATGTTTTTTCGTTGAACTGAAAGAATTTCGAGGCCGAAAAACTAAAATATATCACGCAAGGGAAATAACTATAATTATTTTTTGTTTTAAATTGTCTTCTTTATCCGATAATAAATACCAAAATAATAATAAATTAAATATTAAAATTAAAATATGCTGTCAAAACGTAAGTTAATATATTGAAAGAACAACTACTTTTTAAAACTGTTATTATATGTTCCTGAAATATGTCTGTGCATAAACATTAGATTTTTCATAAGTATTGTCTTTTTTAAATTATATCCTTTTAATTTAATTTACTAGATTGTACCTACAGTTCTGTACAACAATTTAGAATTCAACAGCTTAATTATTCATTTCCTTTTCCGTGTAAACTTCAAAATGGTGAACGTTCCAAAACAAAGACGCACCTTCTGCAAGGGCAAGAAATGCAAAAAGCACACAATACATAAAGTTACTCAGTACAAAGCAGGAAAGGCTTCTTTGTATGCCCAAGGTAAAAGACGTTATGACAGAAAGCAGAGCGGTTATGGTGGTCAGTCCAAGCCAGTTTTTAGAAAGAAGGCTAAAACTACCAGAAAAATTGTCCTTCGTATGGAGTGCACTGAATGTAAATATAGGAAACAATTACCAATCAAGCGCTGCAAACACTTTGAGTTAAGAGGAGACAAGAAAAGAAAGGGACAGATGGTTATGTTTTAAGATAAATAAAATCTGGACAATTGAAGTCTTAAAAAAAAAAAAAAAAAAAAAAAAAAAAACAGCTTAATTATTTTTTTACAAAAAGTTTCAGTTTCCCAATTATTTCATTACAACAAAATTTAATTTTTACTTGATGAACTCATGCTAATTCATCACTCGAAACACGAGTTGTCGTACTTGGCTCTCAAAACCACCCCGACAAAGACAGTCATCGCTTTGCGTGAGAAAAGCCCCCCCCCCCCCCCAACCAGTTTTTCCAGAGTTACTCCAATGTCTGTACGCGGTGAATACCCCTTCCTCGTTCTCAAATGTCTGTCGAATGATTGTCTGCCTGTCCTACTCCCGTGTCTGTCTGTTGCCTGTGAAATCCTGTCCGTCTGATTGTTACTTGCTGTTTGATGCCCTGGTAAGAGGTGTAGCCTGTAAATTACATTTCTGCTGCCGGCATCGTGTCCGCGGGGGGGTCAGGCTGACAAGATAAGACGGACGCGGCGCACTCCGGCAGCAAACGGATGACGTACACGGCAGTTTCTCATTTGCATACAAATAGAAATCAATCTTTAAGGGTCGATTTCGCGTGCTGAGCTTTCAATCTTGTGTCGTCGTCCTCGACCTCTGCCTGTTGTTGTGGATGGACCTCGACCAATCGGGGATCTTAGGGTGTCACGTGGTCTTATCTCGACCAATCAGGGATTTTCTCGAGCATATTGTCGTGTAAATATTCCAGCTTTTGTCAGAAGTATTTCATTAATCAAATGGCAAAGTTACATTGTATATTCCATCTTTTTATGAATTCACTTTATAAAAACAAAAAAAAAAAAAGAAATAATCCTGTTTTGACCTAGCGATCCATTGGGCAGATGAAGTACTATTCATTTGTTTCTTGACCTCGGCATACAAAGGGGTGGTATGGTCAGCAATACGCCCAGCCAACTATCATTTTTCCAACGTAAGTCAGGTACCTATCACAGCTGGGTGAACTCAGGGAAGTCCTACACTCAGAAGTCTGAACCGTAATCCGGACTCGAGACCCTTGGACTAGCAGCAAAACGCTCTATCGTTTAACCACACCGTCCCTCATACACTTGTATAAATAAGTTACATTTCATATCACATTTTTCAGTTCTAATTTTACTCTAGTTTCGAACATATAATCATTAATAAAAACATATTACCACAAGACGATTCCTTAAAGCAATCTCATTATCAAGTACTAAGAGCTTTTCTCGGGGATGTTTTTGTTATTACGAGTGAAGACAGTCTCTGGATTTGTTATATCATAAATATGTTATCTATATTGTTATTCAGTCGGGTAGTGAGAACAAAATGCCCATGTATTCGTGTTTTAAATTACAATATGTAAAATATGTGCACACTGCCCTATTTTGGTAGCTTTTTCTATTTGATTGAGCCATAGAAAACTTAGACTTTAAGATGTGGCCAGATTTTTGAATGGGTGTTTTATAAACTAAATTTATGAAATACAAACTACAAAAGTAGTTAAACTATTCAAACAAGCTATTCTTTACGCAATGAGATTGTAATTTGCTTTCACGCAATTGCCGGTCTTAAACCGCTTGAACCAGTGCATGACTAAGCCTTTCCTTGAACAAATACACCTTTTAAATCAAAGTAGCAGCAGTCTGACAAATCCTTAAAAACTCTTTATTTGCTGACTTAAATTAGAAATAAACACTGCACTGATTATCCTTTTCTTATTCAAATAACCCAACCCCTTACTTCTGTTTTGTTTCGTATTCTTCAGACATTTTCTTAAATTTTTGTAAGTCTGGACATCCGTCTTTGAAATGACAAATTCTTTACAAACTTGTCTTCAATTCTCAAGCAATCTATAATGTAGAACTAGTTCCCCATCCCAAATCCGAGAACGATTTAACCCTATGTAAACCAGTCTTGGATATTTGGACTAGAGTGAGCCTCGTATAGACCTCGCTTAGCAAACAGCTTAGCTAGAGTTAAGCTCTACTTAGAGGATTTCAATTAAAAGCTCTTGTCTGAAGTTGGTTGCGCGCAGTTCTTGAGATGAACGGATGGTTTTAGAAATGGTGTATGCTATTTGTCAAGTGGTAGCCAGATTTTTTGACTTAACGGTTTTTTTTTTCTAATGAATATTTTGATCATGGCACGTGATAGTAAATTAACAAATAAAGAGTTTTTTTAGGATGTTCAGATATTAATTAGCGATCACGCTAAATGTTGTTTGAATGTGTACCCTACTGTATTTTATCAGTTAGTACATAATATAGGCTATAAATTGTATTTGACGTGTTTAAAATTAATGTAAATATCTTTGACAAACAAATGAATGCACAATACCTGTTTTTTTTTAGATTTGGTAAAAATAAATAGACGTTATAATGTACATTTTTTAAACCGAATGTTGCCTCTCCTGAGGATTTCTTCATGTCATTTGCACTTTGTGTGTTTGGGGGGGGGGTTGTTTGGGTGAGGGGAGAAAGAAAAAGAACACCTAGTGCGGTACCAATAGAAAAGATTTAGTTGTATATAGTGTTTTAAAAAAATATATATGGTGGAACATAATGTAAAACGATGCCAGTCTAATTAAATTTAATTTGTTTCTTCTCTCAGGTCTCGTAAATATATGGCCGAGGTCAAACAGCTCCGAACCAAAAGTTGCAGCCCATCTTATGATGACCAGCCAGGATTTGAGTCAAGTTTCTCAAAGTAAGCCCATCAAAGATTACATTCACTATCCTAATTAAATAGGACCGTCCAGAAGTAGGCCCTATACGTCATTTGAGTTTGCATGAAGCAACACAAATGATTTCATTGTTGACATCAATGTGTTTATATTATTTCGGCAAATATCTTAATTTCTTAAGATTTAAGTATATATATAGTACTTATAAATATATACATTACGTATAAATTTACGATGAATGCAGTAATTATATCTTTTTGATGTATACAGCATGTACATAACTATGAAACATTGTTATGCATATGATGTATACGGTACTTATATATCAATTGTGCATACAGTATTTATATATATATATATATATATATATATATGATGTATGCATTATATATATATATATATATATATATATATATATATATATATATAAATGGTATATAAGTTATGTATAATATATAATCTATGCAATACTTATGATATATACAATATTCATATATACCTTTAGTGTAGTGAAAAGAGGCATTAAAATGACTTAAGCCGTACTTAACTTTATCCTGTCGTGTTTGTTTGTCCCCAGTCTATGGCAGACAGTACACCATCCAAAAGTGGGAGCACAACCAGGATCTGTCCTTCACGACAAACGTTAACTACAGACATGGCCGTTTGGTCATCCCAGAGGATGGCTATTACTACGTGTACAGGTACGTTGTAGTGGGTTGTTAAAGACTGGATCCAGAGGCGTAGCGACCCTTCCCGGCTCCCGGGGACAAACTTTCGATTTGTACCCCCCCCCTCGAACTTTTCATTTGCACCCCCCACCCCTCTCAAACTTTCAATTTGTTTTTACAACCCATTTTGGCGCACCCCCTAAGGTCGGCGCCCGGGGACATAGGTCCCTCCCCCCCCCTCGCTACGCCTCTGACTAGATCTACCTATTTCAATGTTGGTAGTATTGGCGTTGAGAACAACTGAAAAATGGCAGGAGAGTGGAGGACATTGACATAGACCCCATGTTACGGAAGAAACAAAAAGGGAAACTGATGATGAATTATGGCGTTAGTGCTTTGTATATGGGCATCGTTAATGGTTGCACAGATCACCGGGTGTATGATATATCGGGACAGTAATGTGCAGTACTGTTTAAAAGTAAAGTTAAATTCACTTTTCGAACCTGGCGGTCCTTCTAAAGGTACAGTGTACTGAGAACTATAACAAACCGCCATTACTTTCCCTAACTTGAACTAAGTACCCATCAGAGCTGGGTGGACTACTGACTTGACCCCGGATTTGAACTCCAGATATTCGGCTTATCAGTCTAGCATGTCTGAGTTTAACCAAGCCTAACATCATCCTTTAAAATGAACATTGGAGCCGTTCCTTAAGACTGCTACCCACTTGACACACAATAGTGTGTGACGGAGGGGGATGATAAAGTGAGCAGCGATTGTTACTGCTCGTTCCTTTGATTTATATAACATTACAACAGTAAAAAGTAAACGTGTGCTAGATTATCCAGATCCGTTCTATCTCTGTGTATTAGTTCAGGGGTCGGCAACCTTTTGAAGCGGAAGAGCCAAAAGTTACAATTTTCAAAATTTCCCTGGTTTTAAAGAGCCACTAACATTTTTTTGTTTCAAATATTTATTTTTTTAGTAAGATCATTAGTATTTGTTCAAGGAGCTGGAGAGCCGCATCTTGATATCAAAAGAGCCGCATGCGGCTCGCGAGCCGCAGGTTGCCGACCCCTGTATTAGTTCTTTACGTACAATTTATTTAAGACATTAATTTCCAAAATTTAGCGCTACTGTATAAACTGATTTAGTAACTTCACTGAATTGTATTATTTCTATTTTACACAAGCCAAACTTGTCTCATAATCACTCGTATTTTACTCCAGCCAAATCTCCTTCATGGAGCTGTATAGCGCCCATGAGAGCGACGGCTCTGGTAGAGGTGGCTCCGAGTACCCGAGCCTGTCCCACTACATTTACCGGTGAGTCTTTTGAATATCTCTCTCTCACACACACACTCTCACACACACACATACACACACATATAAACACACAAACACACACAAACACACACACATACATACACACAGACAAATATACACAAACATACACAAAACGTTAATCGTTCGTCACATTAGGAAATACTACCTAACGCTTATTGGCTGAACAATACAAACAAAATAATAATCCATTTTTTTGGTGGAAAATATTACGTTTATTTTTTTTTATTAATTGAATTACCTTAACAAAATAATCTTAAATTATATGAAGAAAAATAATACTAATCGTGTTTATTGCAATGTTCAAAGAAGATACACATCACACTGTTATATCAGAAAAAATACAAATTATTCATGTTTTGTCGCTAAAATGTATAAAAATAGCAATAATAGAATGTTGACTTTTTGTTATTTTAATCAATAAACAACGTTTAGTATTACGTACTTTAACTCATTGCAAGAGTCTGTGCTGAAGCATACTTGTGGACTTAATTAGATAGTCTTCAAAATAACTGAACATCGGCGCAACTTAGCTGGAGGGTACACTGTTGTCTCTCTAAACAATCACTTTAGTCAATGTATGCGAAATCGCGAAATCTGAATACCTTTTGAAAAAAAAGAAAAATTCAGAGCGCATTAGCAAGATAAAGCTCCATCTGCAACTAGCGGATATTGGACGAATTGGTGGAACGGTTAATCACAACGTTACGTACCCAAATGTCTAAAGTTAGGTTCTCTGGCTTAGGTTTAAATGACATTACTGACTAAACATATTCCAAAAAGTTACCTGCTTTTGGTTGGATGAGAAGGCACGACTATTTTAGAGCTAATCACAATATAATTGACCGCCAGGATCGAAGGGGGACTTTACTACTTAGAACACTTTAAACTTCAGTTAATAAAATATAATTAGTTCAAGCAAGAAAATATAAGTTTTAAATTAAAAATTATTAGAATTTTAAAAAAAAATTGAAATCATCTTGAAAATGTCAACTTCTAGCGAAATTAACGAGCCCCAAGACGATAAATCTTCACGCACTTCTTCAAATATGATCGACTTTCTTAACGTAACATTCTGCACTTAGTCACACAAGTACCAACGTCTCTCCTTGACCTCGACTGTCATATCAACATAAATATTTTCAACCTTGGTGTGTATTTAACTAATAAATTGTCCCACCCCCGCTTCCCCTCCTCGACAGCTACAACATCCTGTACGACCAGGGCGGTGAAGAGAAACTGATCCAGAACTCCATCACCAAGTGCTGGGGTCAGAGCAAGACCTTCGGGGAGTACACCAGCAACTTGGGCGCCGTCCTGCAGCTCAGGAACTCTGACGAGATCTTCGTCAAGGTCTCAAACCTCTCGCTTGTCTCCATAGACTCCAAGATGAGCTTCTTTGGTTTGTTCAAGATCTGAGTGGGTGGACCCGGTTTGGTTGGTTAACATGTTGAGATATCGATAAAAAGTTCTGCGTAAATGAAAAGTTTGATACGTTTAAGGGATGGATGTATATGAAACTGTTATTTTAATTTAAAATGTTTGACTATTACCAAACTGATTCCATTATATATATATATATATATATATATATATATATATATATATATATATATATATATATATACATATATAATCTCCCTGCATGCGCCAATACTACAGGGCAAGTTGCGCCGATATAAATTATGTAACAGATTTTGTGTTTTGTCTAAATTATTGAAAAGTGGAAAACGCTTTCAAGAGAATGTGAAAATAATTGAGTGGGCTTTTTTGCGGCTTTTGAATCGAATGGTTGAAAGACAGTTTAAATTCTATATATGCATATACATTAAGATTATGAGACTCATATGGTTTTTGAAACACCTATTTGACCGCAATAGAAAGCATACGTTTGTTGCGCAAAAGTTGGAATGAATGTATGCATGAATAAAGTGATGCATTTTATCTTTAAATGTGAATTGAATAATACGAAATGTAATTTGACAGCAGAATTTCGCTAAATATGAAATAGTTTTTGATTAAAATTAAAAAAACAATGAAATTAAATGTATGTATGCAAATAAATACAGGTTTTTGCAACAGTTATTTACATTAAATTAAAATCATAACATTAAACATTTATAAGCAAACAATATATATATATATATATATATATATATATATATATATATATATATATATATATATATATATATATATATATAAAGTAGATTGTCTTTATATAATGAAGGAAAAAAAATGATTGTATTTAATTGCAATTATCAAAATATGTATAGGCCTATTTACGTATTTTGTTCTATAGATTGAAAATTTAAAGGAATATAATATGCACATTATTTTAATAAGCGTTTGCGAATAATCTAAGTAATTTACAAAAAATAACATTTAACCGGATTGTTTTTTTTTTTTTTGCATCCCGCATTAGGTAAATTACATTTTTAATTCAAAAGATTGAAACAAATAAAAACCTGACTGACAAACATTAAATACATTTTTATTTTAATGTGTTTTTTTTAAACTTTTAATTCCTATATTAGAATTTTCTCTTTGATTGATTTATTAAAATAATTCATTTAGCTTTCTCTTTTTTAAAAATGGTTACCAAATTTATCTATGAAAAAATAATTAAAATATTTTTAACAGAAATTAATTAAAATAGCATGATAATTAACCGAAAATTGTTGCTTCTAAACAGGTAAACAGGTAAACAAACACGTTTTAAAATTATTTTATATATGCATTCACCTACTCATTAAACCTCTGTTTCCTTTTTGTTTTAGATATGTAGGTACGGGGTAGCACATGTATTATTTTTAATTTGTAGTATTTAATCATTTATTATAGAAACTTAAAGAAAGTTATTTTTTAATTAATCTTTTTGAAAACAACTGCCTTAGCAACATTCACGGTTTTATAAAGGTTTTAAAAGTCTATAGTAAATTTTAAGAACAACTTAAGGTGACTTTCTTAAACAGTTTGATTACACAACACGCACACTTTATATAAAAGTACGTGTTTAAGAAAAACACGATATTATGTATTCATTTCACGTTTCTTTAAACTGAGTTCAACCTAATTCACATTCTAGTAAGCAGTTTGATTTTTTTTCTCATTTTATATATTGCCATATTCTAACTCTGTATGAGTATACAATTCATGTAAAATATGTTTATCTATCCAAATGCTTACTACTTGGTATATTGCTCTGACTATTTGTCAACAGAGGAGCTGTGAAGCTTATCTGTTTGTTTCATTCTGTGTGCAGTGGCAAGCATCTTTTTACAATTCCAGTTTGTGTTGATACATATTTTGCCATGATTCTGTAAATATCTGTGTCCATATTCTAAACCTTTAATTTAATAATCCTGGCTATGCCGATCATAATTTTCATATTTAGTTTCAAATCTTTTGAATGCAGCAGTTTAGTAACTTTATATTCGCGTATTTATAAAACTTTAACAACAATTTTGACATGTTAAAAGCAAAATATCTTTCTGAAATTTTAAAATTATAAATGTCTTTAATGACACGTTACTTATATTTCATCTTATTTATTTTAATTTAAGTAATTTGAAATATTTTTATTCATACGTTTTTTTAAAACAAATGTAATTGGTCATTTTTTTAAAACAACATTTCTGGTTGTGTAGGCCTATATTTGATTTCCTAGAGTCAAGAAAACTTTAAAACACTAATCAGGTATACACGTTCAGCTTGAATTCTAATTTTAAAATGGCGACACGATATTTACACAACACATCGTGTAGAAATTTGATTTTTCTCTTTACAAATGCATTTTTAACGTGTTCTGTCTGAAGAACACTGTTGGCTCATCATTTTTCTCGAAGGCTGTGGATGTTGTATATAAAACTACACAATGCCAGAGAATATGTTATTTTAATTTTTAATTTTTGCAAAATTGTATAATAATCAAGAGTACATATAATGAAGTCATAATAAACATTATACTTTTATAGCCATGGTTAAAAATATTTTATTATTTTTTAAAACCATGGATTTGAAAATTGTACATAATATTGAATGTGAAAACGTGAAAACTTGTGATGCAATTGTATTGTAAAAAATCTGGTGAGAAGTTATGTTGTATACAAGTTTCTAAATGCAAATTTAATATGAGAAAAAGTATTTGTGTTTCTTCAATAATTGGTGCATTACTTTTTTTATGTTTGATTCCAAGTCATTTGTGATTTTAAGTCAACTGTGAGTGTTTGAGACGAAACTTTTGATCTGAAATCTATTCACATTTTTCTGTGCTTCTTTTGATCCTTTTCATTTGAATAAATATGTGATATTTTTTTCAAACCGTTTCGTTGTTATATTTTTAATTTTTAAAATGTTACTAAAAGTTTCATTACTAAATAAGTAGTAACTTTTAAATGTTTTAATCGTGTAACAAAATATTAAATCTTAATCCAGTCATGGAATTCATATGGAATTTATTACTAAACGCAAATTCATTTAAAACAAATAAAACACATTAAGCTAATACAAAACAACTAACATATTTTGTTCTGCGTAATATTTAAAAAGTGCAACTGAAAAAAAAACGTTATGTTCCTTTAATTAAACATGATACGCGCAACTAATAACACAAGTGACAGTATAATATTTGTGAACATGTTTCATTCCGTCGCCTCTTTTCGCATTAGTTAATCATCCGCCAATTTGAAAACCTTCCTCGCACATCATCAGAAATTATCAGATAATACGGGGCGTATAAAAATGGAAACAGAAATTGATTTCTTCGGACCAGGGGCTCTCAACTTATTGTAGCATGACCCTAGTCGTAAATCTTCAACCTAGTCCAAGAAAACTTCTTTAGCAAATATACTAAAAAGTGCTCAAGTTAAAATTTACACTGTTGTTGAGCCTAACGCAGATATGAATTTGAGTTTAAATTATAAGAACTTTAAATAAACTTGAAAAAAATTAGTTTTATGACACTTTTAAGTTATTGTAGATCGAGAAAAACTCTTGTTATGAAAAAATATTCTACAGCTTTTTGTATTAATTATGCATTTGTGCTTTTAATGAAAATGATCTGGTCTTACTGCTGATTTAAAATATATTAGTTATTCTATTAAGAATAATAACTTTGGAACCGTTGTTCTCGATGAATGTCCGTCGTTGGACTGACCAGTTCTCTTAGACTTCCTGGCATCAAACGTCACTCCCGTTTCATGAACCCTCTAAATATTCATCAGCTCCGTCAGAAATTCATTTTTATTTTTACTCACACAATTTTCGTCGACGTATCCCTCCCTCACCACCCCACCTCCCGATTTATAAATCCGATCCAGATACCATCCCATGAAAGACAGATTCTATTAACAGACGAAATAAACAGATTTTTTTCTCTCTTGACATTGTCAGAAGATTATACGATGTAACATGGGGAGACACATATTTTTTTATCATCACGTGATTCAGGGTCTTCTGCTGGTTCTGCAGACGTTCATGATTTCTGGTGCTAACCTATCGATCTATTTTCCAGTTGTTTCACTTTTTTTAAGTTTAAGATTTTCGAAATACTTATTTTTTCATATATATATATATATATATATATATATATATATATATATATATATATATATATATATATATATATATATATATATATATATATATATATATATATATATATATATATATATATATATATATATATATATATATATATATATATATATATATATATATTAGTGTTACAGAAATACCAATATAGTAAACTCAATGAAAGACGTTTCCGAAGAAAGTTTTCGATGAATTTCACATTTATGAAAGCTAAAATATAATTTCTGCTTTAAAACCCAAAGCAAGTTTCCTGATTGTAAAACAGATAAACAAAAATATTTCGTTTTTTAAAGATCTCACTGCCAGAATACATTTGAAACATTTCAAAGTATCAACAACAACAAGAAAGAAATGTAATTATCCGCTGTTAATAGATTTACGTTCACGCCGCTTTAAAATGGTATCCATTGTTGAATCTTCTGGACAAAACATTTAAAATTTTTAAATAGAGATTCTTAAAAAAAAAAAACGCAATTAAGACTCCGTTTTACGTGATTGTAAAATGCTGCTTTTAAAAGAAAACATGTTCTCTGAATTTCACAGTAGAAATCACTAAGGTCACCTATATAACAGTAAACATAAGGCATGGTATCTATTCAACATTTGAAATCCCTATTATCTAAGAACTCTTCAATAATATGCCGGTTACCTTACATTTCCTAGAGTCGAAATCACTATGTGCTTACGTAAAAACATGCATAACAGTAAATATAATTAAGGTTATATATATATATATATATATATATATATATATATATATATATATATATATATATATATATATATATATATATATATATATATATATAACCTTTATCCAGGTTACGTTTCATAAAGTCAAAATCAGTATATGTTTACAGATCAGACAACAGTATACATATTCTTTCCTTTTGTAGTAAAGCTTAGCCGAGTTTCATTTAAAACGCTTAATTACAATCCTGATAGCTTCGTACTGGGTTCTCTGAGCATACCCAGCTCTAACCGGTACCTAGTCCAAGTTTGGAAAAGTAAAGCGGCTGATCGTTTTTGCTAAGTACTCATTCGATTCATATTCTCAAACAACGAAAAAGGATGAAAGTTTCTTAATCTTTACTCAGGAATCTCGCGCTTTGAAAATTCATTTCTATCGTCTCTTTTGAGATTCCCTACGGCTAATATGATTTAGAGTGAAGATCAACATTTTCAATTATTTTCTATAGGACACCATATATAATTTACTGCAATTCCTTTTCAAAGTTTGTTATAAAAAATTAACACACAATTCATTGAATCATTTAAATTTGAATCTTCATTATTATTATTACTCTATTAATTATTTGCCCAATATTTTAAATAATATATGAATTATTCTTTTCTGTTTAAAATGTGGTTTTTTTTTTAAATTTTTCCTTCAATTTTCAAGTTTATTTTTCTATTATTACGCTTCGACGCTTGGTTATTCACAAAGAAAAAGTATTTTTACTCGTAAAATGTATACTTTACTGAATGCTCTTTTGAGTAGTTTTTGAATGCTCTTCATTTCGCTTAAT